GGTTAGCGGTTGTAGTATTGTCGTCAGGTACTTGGATAGTTGATATGTGGGAGAGCCACAGAAAGAAACAATAGGTCGCATCGGGAGACCAGGTTTGTGTAGTTTCGGCAAACCGTATAGTTTCGGTGGCTGTGGTACCGAGCACTTCAGTCGATAGTATCGTTGGGTGTCAAAGGCGTTCGTTTTCTTGAGTGTCAGTAGTTTACTGTTGAGTTTACTTTGAAGTGCAGGAGTTGGGTCACGTTTGAGTTCTTCGTAGGTTCGTTTGTCGCTAACTAGTGCGTCCATTTTGTTGTGATAGTCAGTTTTGTCCATTACAACAGTAACTCGTCCTTTGTCGGCTGGTAGGATGACTATGTTCTCGTCGTTTCTCAGTCGTTTCAGTGCGCGTTGTTCGTGTTTAGTCAAGTTGGTGTTATGTAGTGACGTTGATCGTATGGTGGAGGCAATTCTGCTTCTGATGTTATCCTTGGTCGGCTCAGATAGTTCTTGTTGCCGAGACAGAGCCGCCTCAACACTAGATACAATAGCCTCGGTCGATATACGTTTAGGTGTTACTGAGTGTTTTAGTCTGTATGATATTACCTGAGTTTCAGTCTTGTCTAAGGAACGAGAAGAAATGTTACTTACGCAGTTGTCGTCTGGTTTCCTTCGTTTCTCTTCTTTGTCGTTGATGTCCAGTGCGGGCGCGTTCAGTCGTCATGTTGGCTCGTTTGTCGGTAATTGTCGTAACGGTGTCAAGTAGGTCAGTTGGTATCAGTTGTTTCAGTTGGTCGTGTAGTTGTCGTAGTTATTGAAAAAGTTGCAGCCAGACGTCTGACGAATTATCTGTCTGACAATGATCTGGATGAAAGTCTCCAGTCTGCTTACAAGAAACATCATAGTTGTGAAACAGCGCTTCTACGTGTTAAAAATGATATTCTGAGATCAATCTATGGTAAACAATGTGTTGTTGTCTTGCTGTTAGACCTATCAGCAGCCTTCGACACTGTCGACCATAAGATCCTATTACACACACTGCGTTCCAGGTTTGGTATAAAAGGTAAAGGACTTTCGTGGTTTCAGTCTTATATTACGGATCGTTCCCAGTTTGCTCAGATTGATGGATTTACTTCCTCAATTCGTCCGCTCAGATTTGGCGTGCCCCAAGGGTCCGTGTTGGGTCCGTTACTGTATCTCTTGTACACGACCCCACTAGGTGACCTAATAAGATGCCATAACATAGACTTCCATCTATATGCTGATAACACTCAATTATATACCACCTTCAGTTGGGATGATAAGAATGACCTTACCACTACAATTTCCCGGATTGAAAGCTGTCTTATTGATATCACCAACTGGATGACTACTAACAAACTGAAACTCTATACTGATAAAACCGAACTTCTTATTCTCCATTCTAAGTTCAGACAGCCCCCGCGACTACCTTCTATTAAAATAGGAACTGATATCATGGAGCCTACAAATAAGGCGCGTAATATCGGCGTCATTTTCGATAACACCGTAATGATGTCTTTTCATATTAACAACATAGTTAAAGGGGCATTCCACCACCTAAGAAATATAGCTAAGATTCGTAAATATATCAATGTCACAACAGCTAAAGTTCTTGTACACGCATTT